ACGTACACATATTTCTGATATTACTACTTTTACAGTCGATATGAATTTCATAAAATTCTTATTTTATCTAAAAATTTTAGGCTTTTGAAGCATGGAACAATTTAGCAAAAGCATACATAAAATTGGGAGATAAAACAACAGCTTGGAAATTTTTACAAGATGCCATAGCATCTTGTTACGATTGTTGGCAAGTGTGGGACAATTTGATGATCGTAAGCATTGATTTGGGACATTTTTCAGAGGTAAATATCTATATATGATATTTTACAAAAATTCTCTGTTCAAGTATCTAAACTAATTTTAAAAGCATTAACACATTTAAAATTACAGAATTAGTTCATGTATATATTAAAAGTGAATATATATATATATATATATTTGATATAGCTAAATCTTTATATTAAATATATTTTATTAATAGTTTTAAACAATTTATTTACAGGTTATTCGATGTTATCATCGTATTTTGGATTTGAAAAGTAACCATTTAGATGTTCAAGTTCTCCAGATATTAACAAATGCTATAGTAAATAATATTAATGATGCGAACGGAAATCCAGCATCTCGTTTGCTTCAAAATAGTTTGGAATTATTTGGAAGAATCACTTCTAATATACTTAATAATCCAGATATTTGGAGAATGTACGCTGAACTTGTCGTACTGAAAAAAACAGACGTTGACGAAGAGAGAGCGGCACAGTATCTACAAAAAGCGTATCGTTTTATCACTTCGAATCCATGGAGTCACAGCGAAGCTGCAACTCTAAAAGTGCTGGATTTATGTTGTGATTTAGCACAAGCATATTTACGTTGTACCACTGATATTGCAGTTATCAAGAAAAGGAAAATGTTAGGAAGCGCTAAATTGTCGCTTCTAGGTGTCGTGAAAAAAGTCAAGGAACAAGAGTGGAGTAATACAAACATCATCGAACAATTAATGAAAGTTGAAGAATATTTAGCGACTATAACGAATGAATTAGAACAAATAAAACCTACATAATGAGGATATTAGAAGAATTCTTTTTCTACAGAACTTTATAAAATCAATGATATGATTGATTTTAATAAAATAGTTTACAATAAACAATATAAATACATTTTAAATTCTGTTTCATATGCATTGTATATAATTAATTATTGTATTCAATTATTACCAATATGATAATATTCTACATACACATATATGTTACTCATACACATATAAACTGAAAAAGTCAGTGTATCAATATTCATACAAATAATATCTTTGTTAGACAGCTAGATACACTTATTATAATTTAATTATCTTAAATTAATATTAAATAGATAAAACTTATTATAGACTGTAATACAGAGAACATTTAAATTTATTGCATTTTCTATATATATATATATATATCTCAAAATGTCTACGCGATACATGAAAAAGGTCTACGGCAGCGATGTGACCCTGGAAACGGGTAACGACAACACGAGTGACACGGAAGTTTCAGTAACCAGCAACACCAAGTCCAAGTCTTTCAATGTTTTCGATGTGGTACGTAGAACTAAACATTCGTCACATCGTTTTATTCCTTTCTGGAATGAAGGTAACGTTAAAAAATATG